TTGTTGGGAAAGAGTGTTTGGTATGACTAGCTTGTTCTCTTGACAGAAATCTATTAGCCTTTTCCCTTCTTCAATTTTTTCTCCAAGGCCCAAATTTCCTGTTATTCCGATTACTCCTTGACTTCCTACTTTAGCATTCCAGTCCCCTATGATGAAAAGGACATCTTTTTTTGGTGCTAGTTCTAGAAGGTGTTGTAGGTCTTCATAGAAGCGGTCAACTTCAGCTTCTTCAGCATCAGTGGTTGGGGCATAGACTTGGATGACTGTGATATTGAATGGTTTGCCTTGGATACGCACTGAAATCATTCTGTCGTTTTTGAGGTTGTACCCCATTTTAATTATTTAACCTGCCTTAAATATTCTCAGTGTGGCTTAAGTTAAAGCAAAAAAGTATACAGTACTGGATTACAAGTTCCATTAAAACAGCAGCACCTGACAAAGTGTGTAGGCATGGGGAAGTCCCTGGAGGATCAGGAGATTGACCCTGGCAGTAGAAATACTCTGCTTGACCCATCAGACACCCTTTCCCGGGGTCACACTACAAAAGAAGGACTTTTCAGGGCAAGTTGTGCAGGTGGTTTCCTGTGATAGAGGCGTCTGATGCCGCATGATAAGCCAGTTTGGTGTGGTGGTGAAGGGGCTGGCCTAGAAAGCAAGAGACAGTGAGCTCTAGTCCCCTCTTAGGCATGAAAGCCGGCTGAGTGGCTTTGGGCCAGCCCCTCTCTCTCAGCCCAACCCACCCCACAGGTGGTGGTTATAGGGAAAATGGGAGGCAGGAGGATTAGGTGTGTTTGCCACTTTGCGTTATATTTAAAAAAGATGGGATACATTTATTGTTGTTGTTGTTGGTCATGCAGTCAGCCAGATATTTAGACTGGGTTTGGCGTTTTTATCCACTGACTGAGTCCCTCCCAAGGACCTGGGATGGGCAGATGTTGTTCGGTGGTGTTTGAGGTATCGGTGCAGGACGGAAGCTCTTCCAAGTAAAGCTGCCTTTTGCCATGGACTGATGGCGATTTTGTCAGTGCTGATGGTCTTCAAGTGGTGCTCCAGATGTGTAGGGATTGCACCCAAAGCAGCTGCTGCTGCTGCTGCTATTATTTGTAGGCCAGGCACAAGTCAGAATTCTGTGCTTCCATATAACTTTTAGTTTGTGCCCCTTTTGTTGATCATAGTAGTTTATTATTTATTTGTTTATTATGGCTGTGTTCCTGGGTTTGGAGGATGGAAAATAAAATTTTTTATAAAATTAAAAAAAAATTATCTTTATTTAAATATTTGTATTGATGCTTGCTTGTTTGTTTTATTTTTATTTCAGCTGCCGATTGTGTATTTATTTTATTTTGGTTTGGGTTTTTTGGTGGTATTTGCTGGTTTCTTATTGTTAGTTGCCCAGAGTCACTTGTTTGATATGGGTAGCCATATAAATTGGATAAAGAAATAAACAAGTCCAAGTTGGAAATCTGTTTCCTAACCCTAACCCTCACCTAACCAGAGCTAGAAGCCCAGGGATGCTGGACATTGTGTTCAGCAATATCTGATGGGTCTTCATTTTCCCATCCCTGCATTAATTAGTTAAAAGAGGATTGTCTCTTTTCTTTCTTGCATTATTTTAAAAAGATGTGGTCACCTATGGTGAATCATATTTGTCTCCAGGCAATCAGGCAGGAAGTTTATTTGAGGCAGAGAGATCATGCCTAAAATTGATACCACTGAACAATGTAGATTAATTAGCAGATATCTAAGCAAAATTCTTATCTTTTTGTCCTTAACTCAGAGATAGTTAGATAAGCTTAATCTTAAATAACTTTTAATATATTACTGCAGGCACCACTGTTTATGAGTCATTCCAAGTTCTTTCTCACCTAGAGAGTAATACATCTTCTGTAGTAATGCTTGGTATTTGCAATTTTTAAAAGTATTTCCACTGAAAAAAGATTTAATCAGGAACCTGTCTTTGTCTATGGCAGCCTCTCAATTGATCAATCAAATCACTTAAACAATTAAAAGGTACAACCTTTATATAAACTTGTATTTTCTCTTTTTATTCAAGGATTGATGCCAGTGAAAATCAAGTGGATGAAACCATCTTTATTTTGGAATCATACATCAACAGCACCATCAGGCACTAACCCTCCTGCTGGAGCTCAAAAAATACTGCCTTCATCTTTTAATTTTTAAAGTCTGTTTGTTTTGTTTTCATAAAAAGAAGATAAAAAGAATTGTTGCCTTGATGTGGTGGTAGCTTTTGATGAACGGAATGTGTGAATTGAATGTATGCTGGTCCCTGACACCTTCAGAAACTGCTCTTAAGCAAAAGCCTTCTCAAATCAGGGTAGGAGATAAAGTACCTCTACAGAGTTCTTCTGGTGGAGAATGAGAGTCCCAGGATCCCTTTGTGCTCTTGAAGCAGAAGCACCACAGTCCTGCAATGCAGACAACCTTCAGAGCAATTTGAGACCTGCCTAGCAGCCAGCTTTCCAAACCCAGGCGCAGCTCTGTAAGATTCTTTGGCTGGGCTCAACTGCTGGATTGAGCTTGGCTTGACTTAGTGAGGCCAGGTCATTTGTGGGTTGACATACCATTGGAAAATGAGTTTTTGGCATGCATGCACCAGGCCATCATATGTTGATTTATTTCAACATATGTTTGAAATAACTTATTTGAACATATGTTTGAAATAACAAATAAATAACACATTTAACCAAGTTTAACAGCTGCACTCGTGCAGTAGTTTTAACCTGGGTTAGTTTGGTGGGCCTTAGCATTTAGTGAAAAGGCAGCCACTATGTTAGTTTATACTGTAATTCAATCTGTTGTGCAAATCTAGAAAGTATGCTAATTAAGTAACCAGGTTACGTGTGTTGTGTGAATGGGACCCTGTGCTGGTGCTTCTTAATGGCAGCTAGGGCGGCTGGCTAGCTTGAGGTTCAGTGGCCATAATGTCTCCAGCTCTGCAGCCTCAGCTATCCTTCTGTGCACTGTGGGCCCAGGGCTGTTACATTCTGGCTTCACACATTTGCTAACTCACGGTTCTGGAAGAAAGAATGGGGGAAAAGTGCCAGAGTAGATCCACAGAAGATGCATCTGCCACGCTTACCGTTTCCTTATTTTGAGTCTGTAGACGCCTGCACGCAAACGGTGGGTGCTCAGATTGGCAGGACGTGCGCAGCTCGGCACCACGGGGAGCCTTTGTCTGCTTTGTTCGTTAGGAATTCACTGAAACGTACAGTTTGCCTCGTCCAAACTGCACCTGGGGATAAGAGTTCCCTGGTTGTGGTCGTCCTTGGACGGGAAGCCACCAGGGGACCCGGGGCTCCAACACCCATCGCAGGAGAAGACAACCGCAAGCCTCTTTCCCGTTGTAGCCAAGAAATACGCGCACAGTCGCCAGTTCAGCTCCGCCTGAAGAAGGCTGATTCGGCTAGAAGTAGCCTTTCTAGATCAACGTGTGAATGAAATCAGGACATCGGCAGATGTGGAAAGCAGTACTCCTGGCAAGAAAAAAACATGAATGTACTCTGTGTCAATGAAGCGATCAGGAGCTGAGCTTGACGCACCCGCCAGAGGTTAACTTCGCCTAAAGTTTAGGATCCTGCGCAGGGGCCGCCACCGGGCTGACTGAATGAACCGCGAGGGCTGAAATTCCCGCGCGGCGCGCCGCGTTTCCGGTCCAGCTCCCTCTGGCGGCTGAACTCGCGGCGGCCACTGGAGGGCGCCCTCCAAAC